CCTAACCATACAGTCCTTTCAGACAATCCTTCCCCTCATCTGCTTCTATTCTGTGCTAATTATCTGTTGTTGTTGTTGTGTACCGTCAAGTTGGAACCAATCCATAGCTGACTCTCTGGTCGATTTTCAGAGGCAGTTAATCGCTCGGGAAGAGATTTCCTATCCTTCTCCCCCAGAACAGCTGGTGGACTCGAATCGGTGCCTTCAGGGATTGCAGCATAGCATCTTGCCACTAACAATCTATCCACACTTTTTCTATTCTGTCTCCCACCCTCCCCACTGTGAGTCCTATTTTAAAACAGTCATGTTATACATTATGTATCCGATTGTGACTGAGATACTTCGTTTAGCATAATGTCTTCCAAACTTACCCATGTTGGATAATGTTTAACAAGTTCATTATTATTCAATGCTTTTTAATATTCCATTGTGTGAATGTATCACAGTTTTACTATCTATTACTTTGTTGATGGGCACCTCGGCTGCTTCCTTGTCTTCACTATTGTAACACAGCAAAGAAACATGAGTGTGCATACATCTGTTTAAGTTGGGGCTCTGGTTTCTTTAGAGTATATTCCCAGTAATGGGATTGCAGTAAAATGGTATTTCTATTTCCAACTTTTTGAGGAACTGCTAGACTGCCTTCCACAATGGTTGCACCATTTTACATTCTCAACAGCAAAGAATAAGAGTTCCAACCTCTCCACAACCTCACCAGCATTTGTTGTCTGCTGCCTTGCTGAACTTTGCTATTGTTGCTGGAATTAGATAATATCTCTTAGTTGTTTTGATTTGGATTTCTCTGACAGTTAGGGATTTTGAACATTTCTTCATGTGACTGGAAAAGTACTTATTAATGGCAGATATAATAAGGGACTCATATCTAAAATTTATAGAATACTGCTGCATCTCAACAAGGTAAACAACCCCAACACAAAATGGGCACAAGATATGAATAGACATTTCACCAAAGAAAAAATTCAGATGACAACCATAATGGTTTTTGTTGTTGTTGTTAGGTGCTGTCAAGTAAGACTCATGGAGTCCCTATGAAACTCTGTAAGCAACAGACTTAAACCCTGTCCTATCTTGTGCCATCCCCATCATCTCTGACACAGCTGAGTCCACTACTGTGTTCTCCATGTCAATCGATTTTATTGGAGGTCTTCATCTTTTTCACCAATCCTCTACCAGTCCAAGCATGACACCCCTTTCCATGAAATGCTTCTCCTAGTAACATGCTCAAAGGATCTGAGACTAAGCTTCTCCATCTTTGCTTCCAAGGAGCACTCTGGCTGTACTTTTCCCCCAACATGTATCTGTTTGTTCTTTTGGCTGTTCATGGGATGTTTAGTATTCTTCTCCAATATCAGAACTTAAAGGTACTGATTCTCCTTCTATTAACCTTAGTCACTGTACAGTTTTCAGATCTGCAAGGGATTGAAAAGACCATGGGCTGAGGCAGATGCACGTTAGTCTCCTGACTGATGTCATTACTCTTTTGTAAGAGATCCCTCACAGCAGGCTTCCTTAATGTCTCCTGAATGCCTGATTGTTGCTACCAAGGTTGTTGATTGTTGATCCAATCAAGATGAAATAATTGACAACTTCAATCCCTTCTCCACATGTCATTATGTTGCTTAGTGGTTTAGTGATGAGGATTTTGTTTTCTTGATGTCGCAATATAATCCATAATGGTCTGTTATGTTGCTGTTGTTATGAGCCACAGGGTCAGAACTGATTCATAGCTGACCCACCAGGGGGTTTTCAAAGCCTGTAGATAACATAAGATTGCCCATCTTTCTGCCATGGAGAACCTGGTGGATTTGAACGTTCCACCTTTGAGTTGGCAGCACACCTTTTACCAGAGCTCCTTTCTTAGCTGATTAGTTGAACATGAAGTTCCTGGTATTTTAAGTTAACTTGTGATCCTTCTTCATATATCCCATTCACCATCTCACTAAATAGGTCATATGTCCTACCCCTGTCATCAAGTTTCTACTAAATTTCCAATTTGAGAGTAGTATTAGACCCGGTAAATAAGTAACTATTATCACTCAATGAGAAAAACAGTCCAATAGAAAACAGGAAAACATGTGAACCATAAATTTACAAAAGGGAAATATAAATGACCCACAAATGAAAAATAATTAAACTTAGTGGCAACTGAGATTGTTTTAAGCCAAAAAAAGAACAAAAAACCCAAAAGTCACAATAAGGAAAATTACTTGTCTTGTAACCTACTGGCAAAAAAGTTTTAAATTTGATCAAAATAATTACTGAAAAGATCCTTTTTTAATTTACTCACCATGAACACGCATTCATTTTTGTGAAGTATGCAAATGATAAAATTATCTTCAAGAAGTAGAAGTATGTCAGTATCTTTTGAAATTAAAGTTATGCATTCGCTACAGAGTTCAAAGAAAAATTTAAAGCAGTAAATGACTTTGAAAAGTGAAGAAACATAATAGCTTAATATCCAGAACAGATAAGAAACTCTAACAACTTAAAAACAACAGAACAAAATAAAAAATGAAAAAAAAAAATTCCAGAATTTCCAGAGATTGCACAGCTAGGCATAGGCCACCAGAGCTCCCTTTCCTAGGCACAGATCCTAAAATTATTCTCAAACACACAGATAAGGAGGCTTGTATAATAATACTTACTGCAATATTTGTTGTGATGGCAAAAATGTGTATAAAAACCAGTAAAGGAATCGTTAAGTTACCACTTGTAACTTTAAAAGGTGCATAAAACCAATGAGAGGAAAAAACTCAAAACAAACAAACAAACCCACACACACCAATAAAAGGATAGTTAAATTACAGTACATCCATATTATCCAATATTTATCAGTAGTTACAAATTGTGTATTAAATATATATTATTAACATGGACAGTAGATTCTCCAAGAAATATGTTTGTTGTTGTTGTTAAGTGCTGTCGAGTTGTAGGTGACTCATAGCAACCCTATGAATTAAAGACATGAACACTTAGATAACTTTCATCCTTTCTCCGGCTTCATAGAGTTTCCGGAGGGATGCCACTCCTGCTTCCAAGTTTGTTTTAATCAGGGAGCTCCACCAAACACTGGCCACCATGGGTAATCATTCTTGTATTTGACACTTCAGTGTCACAGTGTTCAGTATCACAGCAACTACACGTTACCTCTGTACAGCAAATGAACAGACCAATGCTATAAGACCTTGAAGAATGTTTAACCAAAAACAATTACTACCAGGCCTGTCACCCACCTTTGGCTTGGTAGCATCACTTTCTGTCCAGTAGGCCAACTGAATTCTTTCTATGTTGTTGTTAAGTGCTGTCGAGTCATAGGCAACTCACAGTGACCCTATGAATGAAAGACTGAACACTTGTATAACTTTCCTCATTTCTCCAGGTTCATAGGGCTTCCAGAGACAAGCTATTTCGGAAGTAGATGCCACTCCTGCTTCCAAGCTTGTTTTAATTGAGGAGCTCCATCAAACACTGTCCACCATGGGTAACCATTATCACATTTGACACATCAGTGTCACAGTGTTCAGCATCAAGCTGGATCTTAGGATGGCCTCTCGCATCTTGAAGAGGAACACATATGGAACAGTCGGGGCCTAACGGCTTTCTTTACATCCCAAGCGGGTGTCTGCAGCTGGGACTTGCCAGATAAATTGGAGGTCTCTGGTCCAGAGTCTGCCAGCACTTGGATGTGTCATTTCCAGAATTTTAAAATACTGAAATGTTTGGCCACATCTTAAGGCTGAAGGCTAGTGTGTTGTGAATTCATTTTGTTGTTCCAAGAAATATAAAAAGCAAGTTATTGAAGGATATGTTTGATTTAATATCACTATTGTAAAAATATACACACCTCAAACTTTAAAAAAAATAACAAACAAAACACAACAGGTTTACTTATATGTATGTTAAAGCAAAGAAACCGCACCAAAAAGGGAATTTTTCTTATATTCATATTTTAATTTTTGTAAAGTAAGCATTGATTCATGTTTTATCTCTTATTATAGACTCTAATGAAATGTTCCAGTCCTTGGTGAGGGACATCTTGCTTGGGAGGGTGGAGGGACAGTGCAAGAGGGGAAGACCCTTGATAAGATGGATTGGTATAGTGACTGGGGCAATGGGGGTAGGTGTGTCAGAGACAGTAAGATTGGCACAGGATAGAGCAAGGTTTAGGGTTGTTGTCCATAGGGTTGCTATGAGTCGCAGGCACAGGACAACACCAACAGTAAAATATTCCCGCTAAATCCATACAAACACAAAGTAATTTACTATCCTGTCTTGGAAAGTAAATATTTACTTTCATTTTGAGGTTAGAGATAAGAATTTCCTGTTGGCTGGAGACACAGTGGTTAAAACACCCAGTTACTACAAGTTTGGTAGTTTGATCTCATCCGCTGCTCTAGGGGAGAAGAATGAGACAGTCTGCTTCTATAAAGATTTATGATCTTGGAAACCCAATGTAGCAGATGGACACTATATAGGCTCAGAAACAACTTGACAGCAGTAGGTTTGGTAGGATTTTTTTATGCAGATACTGTTAATTTTCAGCTGTTGTCTTGAAAAAACTTTGGATTTCCTTCTTGATAAAATGCAAATGTATTTGCAAAACTGGAACCTCAAGTTCTTGTTTAGATTAAATCAGGGTTGTTGTTGTTGTTAAGTGCCGTCAAGTCGCAGGCGACTCATAAGGACCCTATGAAGGAGAGTCCTTGACACTTGGGAAATCAGGGTTACTCTGAAATTTTCTTTTATTTCAAGCCTTATTAAATGTTTCAAAAAAGTATTGGTTAATTTAATCGAAGTGACTATTGTTACAGTTCTTTCTTCCCAGGTGGGTTTCCTCTTTCCAGACACATTTTATAACCCTTCCAGATGGGCACATCACCTTACTGATTGGTTCCTGTCCGGTAATGGGCTCCCTTTAGGCATATATGCTCCAGTTGAGGAGCTGTGACTCAGTGGCTTCTCTAAATTTTGCTCTGCAGGATACACAGGAGCACAATGTGAGACAGACATCAATGAGTGTCACAGTAACCCCTGCCAGGCTGACGGAGAGTGTGTGGAGTTGTCCTCAGAAGAACAGTACGGGCACATTGCTGGGCTGCCTTCAGCGTTCAGCTACCGTGAAGCCTCAGGCTATGTTTGTATCTGTCCATCTGGATTCACAGGTGAGAACAGGAAGAAGGGAGATGGGGAGGGGGGGGATCGGGAGAAGAATTACTTTGTAGCACGTTATGGCAGATTTAGAAATGAACTAAATGGCACACTGTATTAGGAGCAAGGTCTAGAGTGTGTAACCTCTGCTGCTATGGTGCAAAGGGTCCCTCTGGTGGGAATGAAAAATACTTTGTTTGACATGTTGTAATTCTAAGTATCATGAGGACATTATTAAAACTAGAGACAGAAGATATGTAAGAAAGAATGTCTTTTGTACCTTTTGTTGGGCATTGACTCCCAATAAAACTCTTGTACTTAAAAAAAAATCTGAGAGGTTTTGATTTGCAAATTTAATAATAATATTAAATATTTGTACTACTTAAATGTTGTTTCTTTAGAAAAGTTTTTATTTACTTATTTATATTGACATTGGGAGCAGTTTTCTAGCCTTAGGTAATCTTCTTTCATTATTGTATGGCTAAATTTATTCCTAAGATCAAATCTTAATTACTTTCTATTTCTACCACACTTGTCCTCTAAAACTCAAAGGAAATTTGCATGTATTCTTTGTGGTAACAGATGCATTTGTCTTTGCTTCTTTGTTTTGAAAATTTTCTTAATGCTTGGGACTGTCTTTGCATTTGCTAATGAATAGCAACTTTCCCATAATAGCACAGATGATACTAGTTTCAATCAAGGCTTCTATTTACTTCATTTTCAACAGATTAAACGATAGCTGAGAAAAATATTTCAGTTGTTGCTTGTGGTTTTCTGAGAAAAGTAAATTCAGAATAAGAAATAAGGGGGGCAGTGCAGATGAGGATTGCCTTTTTACACTGGGAGTGCCTGGGTAGTGCAAACGGTTAACACACTTGTGAATTGAAAGGCTAGCAATTCAGTTACCTAGAGCCTCCTTGGAGGAACGCATTGCCCTCGAGTTGCTTCTGATTCAAACTGACCCTCTGTTTCAGAGGCTGTATATTGCACAGGAAGAGAAGACTGTCCATCTTTTTCTAGTGAAGCCTTTGGTGGATTCGAACTGCTAACCTTTCAGTAGCAGGCCAATAGGGCTGCTCATTAAATTTATTAAGAAATAAAAAAAGAATTCCAAAGAGAAACTGACATCCCAGAGTCCTCTTTTTCCATAGATGGTTTGTATATAGCTTTGGGGTCTGCCTGTAATGAGCTGACCCACTCCTTGCATTAATTTGAGTTTGTTTTCTCCACCAGCTGCAGTCCCAGTTGGAAGGGGAAGGGTTTGCCTGGCCTTCCATCAATTTCCCAAGGTTGTAGAGTCCAGCTTTTTCCCAAGGAACCACGGGTGGATTCTAACTGCTATAGAGAGACTCCACCTTTGAGTTAGAAGAGCAACACCCTACAGACTATGACACCAGAGCTCCCCTCTTGGAAGAAAGACCAGAGCTACACTTTAAAATTATCCACTGGCATGTCTCCTACAATGGAGACAGTGCTACAGAGCTTATTTCTACTCTGATACACAGGAAGTCCCCAGACTCTGATTCCTCGTTCACCCTTAAGGAAGCCCAGTGGTAAGGTTTAGTGGTAAGAAGCTGTAGTTGGAACTTGAAGGTACACAGGTCAAATCCACCAGCTGCTCTGTGGGAGAAAGATGGGCAATCTCCTTCTGTGTGGTTTCCTGTTTCTGAAATGCCTCACATTCCCATTTAGGATTACTTACTTTTCTTATATTGTTTCACTTATAGAATTTAGTATAATTGTCTCATAGCTGTGTTTCCTGGAAGATTGTTTTAGAAGACAATGCTTATTTCTTTATATAATGTTCACTCTGTGAAAGCAGGTAGGAGAAAGGTCTCCTTGGTGATAATTTAAGTGGTGTTTTTTCTGAACAATTGCAAGCTTGCATGCTTTACTCTTTATAAAAGGTATGCAAATAAATCTTGATAAATAATTAAAAGACATGAAATAAAACTTTTAATACATCACATTTCCTATCATATAGGCTGCTAGAAATCCTAGACATAAATGTGGCATCTGCAACTTTATAGGCCTTTCTGGACTCTACTTATAAATTTACTTTTCCCCTGGGGATATTTAAATTTCCTGTTCCTGTGTTACCTTTGCCCTTTTTTCTTATTTACTTCTAATTTATTTGGTCTGGGGAAAGTGTATAAATTTTTTGTTGGCTACTTTAAACCTTTTCTTGGAACAGTAGAAGAGGATTTATTTGACTAAGTGATCTACGTATTTTCCTATTGAAATTTATCTGTCTATATAGATGCAGTATGTTGTTGTTGTTGTTATGTACTGTCTAATAGGAAATGACTCATAACTGACCCTCCAGTGGGATTTCAGAGGCTCAAAATTACACAGAAAGAGATCACCCATTTTTCCCCCCTGAGACAGCTGGTGGATTCAAACTGCACGTGGCACAACTCTTTACTCACTAGGCCACCAGATCTCAAATGTAGGTATAGGCATAAAAATAGACATCACTGGTTTTATCTTTATAGATAACACTAAAATATTATCTACACTTATTCTCTTCATTATTTTTTCCTTTCCTTATTTTTTTCCTATTGCCTCAAGATTCCTCTTTTCGTTATTTTCATTTTCATTTGAAGAACATTTTTTGCCCTTTCTTTAAGTGCTGAGTGTGACAATGATCATAGCCCTCTCGTCAGTTCGGACTCACAGAGAGCCTCCAGCAGATTTCCTAGGCTGTAAATCGCACAGGAGGAGATTGCCTGTCTTCCTTTCACAGGGAAGCTGGTAGATTTGAATAATCAGAGAATCACAAGCTTTGCATTAGCAGTGCAACTCTCTTACACTACCAGAGCTCCCCAGCGTTAGGTGTACCGATGACAAATTCTTCTCATTTTGTTTCATCTGATGTCTTTGCTTCTTCTGCATTTCTAAAGGATAATTTCTGTAAACAGTGAAGTCATTCTTGAGTGTCTTTCTTCTCTCTCTTTATTGTTGAGCCAATTTGACTCATAGCTGACCCTCCAGCAGGTTTTCAAAGGCTATAAACCTCACAGGGGGGAGAGGTTCATCTCTCTTCCAAGGATCCACTGATGGATTGGAACTGCCTGAGCTCTCACTTTCTTCTGTCTTCTCTGATTTTAACTTAAACATTGTCTGTCAGTTGTATTAGTGTAATGGCTGAGTGGTAAGGAGTTGTGTTGCCAGCCCAAACGCATCCAATTTGAATCTGCCAGTTACTCCACAGGAAACATAGACAATTTTCTCCCATGCAATATATTGTTGTTGTGTGCTGTTGAGTTGGAACTGACTCATAACTGTCCCTCCAGCAAAATTACAGAGACAATCAACTGCATTTGAGGAAACTGACAAGCTTTCTCCTATGTAGCAGCTGGTGGATTTGAACTGTGTACCTTTGTGTTAGCAGTACAATTCTTTGTCACTAAGCCATCAGTGCCCCCTGCCTATAGATGCACAGTCTTTGAAAACCTGCTGGAGGGTCATCGATTATTTTGTTCTTACTTGACAGCACGCAACAACAACAACTATAGGTAATGTATCATTTATTTCTGAATGTTTTAATATTTTTTCTTTGCGTTTATTTTTTAATTTCTTTTTTTATTTTATACTGCTTTACATACAAAGTTCATAAAGTTAGTATACATTGTTTTTCACACCAGGTCTTTCCCCTTTCCTTTACCCACCTCTCTCTCCACCTGTCAAATTATATGACAATATGAATAAGCTCCACCCTCCTTGGATCCTCATACTTGTTATACAACAATGATCTTATACAGTATTTGTCTTTATGAGACTGTTAGTTCACTTAGCATAATGCTCTCCAGTGCCTTCCATGTTAGATAGTAATTTACAAAATCATTGCTCCAATCAAATCATGCTGCCTAGTATTCCATTTTGTGAATGTACCATATTTTTAAATTTACATTTGACACGTAGGTCTTAACCTTTTTTTTAATAGGTCTAGTGATTGCTTTCTAGACTCTTTGCTGTATTATTTTGGTCTAGTGGGATCATTTGGTGCTGTAGGGGCCAAGACACACCAGAGACTCTTGTTCAGAGGAGAATCTCAGCTTTATGGGGCCAAAGAAGTTTTACCCAAGTTATTTGCCCATTGTGGAGGACTTCTGTCTGCCTTTGAAAGACACAAAGAATTTCCCTGACCTAACACTTGTGTGTCTGAATCCTCTTTGCCAATGTCTCATAAACATAAGAAGTCTCTAAAGGGGAGCCTTTGCATCAGAGGACAGCATTTCCTCTGCTTGTTTGTTACCAGTAGGGCTTCTGTTCAATTGTCTTTACCATTCCTGGGTGTGGTAGGCAGAACTCTCATGTGGTCCAGCAGAGGAGTGAGCCTTGGATTGCTTTTCCTGTTGAACTGAACATCCTAGATTCCCTGACATTACATTATTCCTGATTACTGAAGTTTCTACCCAGTTTCTTTGTACTTAAAAGTCTGTTGGGTCCTTACTGAGTCTCCAGTTTGGAGGCTTATGTGTAGCATGGATTCTGGAGGGTAGGTTCTTTTGATTTAGTTGAAAGTAGAGTGTAAACTGTGGGGTCAGGTTTTCTTTTGTTTGTTTGATTGTTTGATTAACAGTCATGTGTAAGTTGATTGGTCACCTAAATTTAGTCAACAATCAGCTGTGGGCTGGAAGCCTCTTGTTTAAGTCAATCAGGACCTGGTGGACAGGCCTTTGTATTTAAAAGTTGGTTAGGTGTGTTTGAGAAGAACATTGTTCTAAGTGTTATAGCACTTGTCTGTCAGTTTTCTGTACTGAGATAACTTGAGGTTGCTGTGATACTGAATACTGTGTCACTGGTATGCCAAATGCCATAAAGGATACCCATGGTGAACAGGGTTTGGTAGACCTAGATTAAGACAAGCTTGGAACCAGTATTGGCATCACTTCTTAAACAATAGGCCTTTGGAAATTGTATGAATATTAGAGAAATGACTATAGTTATGGGACAGGGTCCAGGTCTTGTTCATAGGGTCACTATGAGTCATACTTGAATTGACAGCAGT